GCATTATGGAATAGGGTAGTGGAAGCTAAATACAACATACATAAGAAAGGGGACTATGAAGGAGGGGGTGTGAAAACAAACAGTTCTTTTTTTTTTTTTCTTTTTTCTTTTTTTTTTGATGAATCAAAAATTTGTATTAAAAGGAGTACAAGGGGTACTCACCCATATACTACAAAAAATGAGAAAACAAACAGTTCTGAGTGGTGGAAGAAGTTATGGAAGTTGGATAAGGCAGCTGTTTCTAGAGTAGGTTGGATACAATAGGGTTTAGAGATGGTTATAGGGGAGGGGAATAAAACACTATTTTGGCAAGATAAGTGGTGTAGGGATGTAGCATTCAAAGAAAATTTTAATAGATTATATAGATTGGTAGAGGATAAAGAGGTGTTAGTTAAGGATATAGGGGAATGGAGGGACGGGGATGGTTTTGGAAGTGGAGGTGGAGAAGAAAATTGTTAGGAAGAGAAATTTCTACTTTGTAGGAGCTCAATGAAATCTTGTATAGAGATAGAAGGATTAGTGGAGATGGAAACACAATACGAAGGGAAATAACCCAAAAACCCAACCCAAAGAGTATTATCAAACGGCACGAGGGAAATGGATTCAATGAATATAAGATGCTCTAGAACAATTATGTACCATTAAAAGTTTTAGCCCTTACTTGGAAAATTTTCCAAAACAAAATACCCACAAGAGATAATTTGATTAAAAGAGGAATAACTGAGACTGGAGCTAATTTTGCATGTGTGTTCCGAGGCCACGAACCAAAAATTGTCATTCCTCTGTTTTCACCTCTGAAACAAGTTAGAAGGTGTGGCAATCTTGTTATGCATGGTGGGGCACCCAATTCGCGTTAACAAATGAAGGGTGGGGTCACCTACAGTAGCATAGGGGAATGATCTCTAATGCCAAGTTGAATATTTCATGGTATGTGATTTGGTTTACAATCCTATGGTCCATTTGGTTATGGAGAAACCAGCTAACTTTCAAAGAAGGATTTGATTCTTTTGAAAATACACTCAACTCGATTACGTTCCAATCTTTTACATGGTTAAGGGCTAAGCTCAATGAAGAATTTTC